TTTATTGTTGACAGTATTACAGATGTCTCCTATTTTCTCCTTTCATGCTCCCCTCTACCCAACCCCCACCCCACCCCAAGACGTCCCATGTTATTGTCTCTGTCCCTGGGTTATGCATATATGCATATATGTTCTTTGGATAATCTCTTCCTGTCCCCTCCCCTCCACCCCCTACCCTCCATTCCCCACTAAGGTCTGTTACTCTGTTCTGTGCATTTATACCACTGGACCTGTTTTGTTCATCAGTTTATTTTGTTCATTAGATTCCACTTATAAGTGAGATCATGTGATATTTCTCTTTCACTAACTTGCTTATTTCACTTAGCATAATAGTCCTAGGTCTTAAAGGATATTGATGAATATTAGGTAGAGGCAAAGGATTGTGAATGGTTGTTTTAATAGGAGTGGCTGACTTAGTCTTGCCAATATCTGTACTAGAAAAGGCCCAAAGTTGTATTGGAACATCCTGTAACAAATGTTCAGTCTGTGTTAAAATTAGTTTCCTCTTATGGAGTTTCCTTTAAAATCATTATTTTCCCAATTGGTTTAATGTCTGATTCACTTAGTTCTAGATGCACTTCACCCCCTTCTGGGAATGCGATATATGAGTGTCATTGGTTTCAAGAAAGTCTCACCCTGTCAGGTGAATTAGGGCAGGTTTGACTAGTAAAAATATGTTGCCCTGAAACATTCCCTGGCTGGAAGGAAACAGGTTTTGACTTAAAAACAAGCATTGGTTGGTTAGGTATCCCTACCATTTGTACTGAAGCTTAGTCTGAGTATTAGTAAAGAGAAGGGGAAACGCCCTCTCATAGTCCTCGGAGCAGCCCTATGCTTATTACTGTTTCTTTTCTTTTTCTAAATCCCATTTCGGATTTCTACAATCCTTCTTAAGGTAACCTGGCTTTCTACAATAAAAGCAGACTCCTCCATGGGAGTTTCCCAGCAAAACGAATTTAGTAATTCTGTTGCTTTGCTCTCAGAAACCAGTAAATGCACTAATTGGAATAGGTCAAAATAGCCAGGGTCATGTGTTCTAACAGTTAAATCAAATTCCTTTGCAAACCCACCTTGGTCCTGGAGAGAGGTAGGGAAATCTTTAATTAGATCCCTTAATTCTTTTCTAGAACAAGAAGTAGATGATGGCTGGTTCTCCTTGTCCAAGACTGGCTTTCTCTAAAGGGAGCTGTCAGAATTTCTAGTTCGTTTGTTTTTTCCCTAGTCTGTCTTGGTCTGGTTTTCTATTCTGAGTGTCCCCTAGGTCAGTAGGGAGCTGTGGTGGGGGTCACGTCATAGAAGAGAGAGAAGGAGGAAGAGGAAAGGAGAGTAAATCCGAACAACGAAGTAAATGGTAGAGGGGGGCAGTTGGAGAAGAGGGAAGAGTGGGGTGTTGTCACTGAGCAGCTTCGGAAGCCTTCTTAGTACAGAAAGAGTCTCTAAATTTTTCTTATTAACTTCCTGGGAAGAAGAATGTCTGTCTGTGCTCTGTTTCAGAGACTTCTATTTGCCAATTGAGCTAAGCCTCTCATTCATTCAATTTGATTTTAGAGCCTGCTTTTTTTTCTATTGTGCACCCAAAGATTAACTTAGGTGTCAAAAGAGCTCCATTTTGGTCATCTTAAGTTAATATCACTTCTAGTTGAATCTTCCCATTTCGTAAGTGCTTGCAAGTAAAGGCTCCCTATGAATTGTGGATCTGCAGGAGTATTAATAGGGGCTGAGGGTGGGGGCTTGTCAGCCTGGAGGCACAATTTCCCATGTTAATTTAGTTTTTTGGGTTTTTTTTTGAGATCTGCAGAGTCTGAACAAATTTCCAGGGATATTGTGTGGTGAGTTAAAGTGTGCCACTTATGGGTTGAGATCCAAGGGTCTGGGTCTGCAAGGTGGTCCTAGGTGGGCTTCTTTGGAATCATGCTGATTATGCCAAGTAAATGTTGACATAAGAAACGTCCAAACCTGTAGAGAATTTTTATAAGTTTATTTGAGTCAAAATGATGACAATTGCCAGGAGGCAAAATCTCAATGAATGGAGAAAATGCTCCAGAGAATGGCAGTTTTGTAGTTTATTTTATACATTACAATCAAAGGAGGGGGGTGTAAGGAGGTTACATGAAATCCACTCATGGTAGATTAAGGGGGCCGGAGAAAGCAAAGCAGGAGGAAATCGCTAGGAGTGGATAAAAAGGCAAAATAGAGTAGCACATGCTTCTTTTACATTGGTGGAAACAAGATAACAGTGAGGGGTGGGGTTCTGTGGTCTCTGCTCTGGTGCCCGCGGTTGTGCCCCGAGGGGTCTGGAAAAGGAGATTACTCTGATATTTCAAAGGTACGTTATTTTAGGTGCAAAAAGACAATAGACAAGTTCAGTTAAGGTATTGCCAATGAAGCTACAGGCCTAGGACGTGAATACCCGCCATGACTCACTTTTAGTTAGGAGTGTTTATGTTCAGACCATCCTGTGTGGTTACTTTCAGTCTCTGAGTTTGTAAGGCCACCATGCTGGCCTCCCCTAGCTTGTCAGGTTTAGTGTGCGGCCCTTTTTTGTCCACAAACTAGAGATGGGAAGACAAGAGCCTGGCAAGTCCACACTTGGTCAGTGCTTGTTGCCCTTCCCTCAGTTTTCTGCAGGCCAATGTTGTCCAATAGAACTTTCCATAATGATGGACATGTTCTCTATCTGCACTCTCAGTAGGGTAGCCATCAGCGAGCACTTGAAATGTGGCCAGTGAGACTGAGGACTGAGTCTTTAGTTTAATTAAAACTTAAATAGCCATATGTGGCTAGTGGCTGTCATATTGGATGGTGCAGCTATAGTCATTTAAAAATGAACTGAGGCACAGATCTGTCCTCCCCTGCAACCTAACTGCTTCTGTTCCTTTTTTCCAGAGCTACCACTGAATACAGTGAGTAGTTCACAGGCTCCTAGTGAGCTGCTTGCACTGGGCTTGACCCAGAGCAGATGATGGAAGGAAGTCACCATCTCAGGACAAAGCCAGACGCAGGCCCAGGTTCTGGGAGTGGGGTCAGGTGCAGGAACATGCTCCGCGTGCCAAATTGATATGGAGCCTTTGATTAAATAGCCGTATGTAATTGCCATCAGAATATGTGGGTACGGACGTATTATTGATCAGTAGATGCACAGATGTTGATTATGTCTGAAAAGAACCTAGGTGCCAATTTTTCCTTTTCAAATCATGTGCCCAGTGTAACTGCTATCCACAGCGGTAGAAATATGAATGTAGATACTATATCTGGATATGTTCAAAATGACAAAATATTGAACACCTTCATCTTTTAAGGCATCGTATTGGGCAAAGATGATTAAGACGCTGTCCCTACCCAAAAGGAGCTTGCAATCTAGTAATATTATTATCTATTGAGTATTTATTGTGTGCTAAGCATCTTTCATAATTTTTATTTGATCCTTAAACACAACAGTGTTTAAGGAAGGCATTATTAGCCTCATTTTAGACAGGAGGAGATTGACACCCAAAGAGGTTAAGTTACTAGTTTAAAGAAGCACAGCCACTTAACCTTTAAAAGACAGCATTTAAAAGACAGCATCATACAAACTCCGTATATTTTCCAGGATCAACTGTACAAATAATGGTTTCTTTCCTTTTGCCTGTAAAAAAGAACGTATATGCTTAGGTTTCTGAATATTTAAAGGGTAGACTGGGCTGCCCAAGCTACTATTATTTCTCCAGGATTATGGTGAGAGCCTCCTGATGAGTCTTCTACCCATGCTTCAAACCCTGCCCTCTCACCCTGCCACTCCTCTGCTCAGCGCGCTGCAGTGGCTCCCTCTTTCTCACCGGGAGTTAGAGGCAGAACCTTTACACGGGCCTACGAGAACCTAGATTATTCACCCAGTTACCTCACTGCCCACTCTCCTGTGCCTCATTTGCTCTGCTCACATCAGACTGGCCTCCTCTCAGTGTAGGGCCTTTGTACCAGGGGTCCCTCTTCTAAGAGCACACTTCATCCAGATGTCTAAGGGACACCGTCAGCCACTGCAAGTCGCTAAATACGTGTCACCTTCTCAGTGAGACCTGCTCTGAACACGCATTCTCCATCTCCTTACCCCACTTCATTTTGACTTTTATGACTTTCTGATATATTTTATAAGTTACTTACTTTTTGTTAACTGTCATCATTTCCCTGCACACATGCAGGAGAGTAAGTTCTATGAGGACAGAATTTCCTGCCCCCACCCTCCCGCTGCTGTATTCACTGCATTGTCCAGACACCTAGAAGATGCCTAATACATAGTGGATGTTCAGTAGATGCTTATTGACTGAAGATGAGTGAAGCTCAGGTTTGCCCAGTTTCAAAGCCAGACTCGCTTATAATTTATATATAAATATAGGATGTCCCAGAAAAATGTACACACACACTTTGAATAATTATAAAGGCGATGTTTATTAAAATACATTTTATTTTCAAAATTGAGCTATTAGCTGTTAAAGTATGTATACATTTTTGGGGGACACCCTGTACATACTCCTTGTTTAGGCCTGATAAGTTGTCCTGATTACTTTAAAATGCATGACTATGTAGAATTACATGGGAGAATCAGAATAACCCAGGCAAATATTCGTTGAGCTGACTTCTTTTTGTTTTAAGATCAGACTTCGCCTTGTACTAAAGAAGCTGTCACTTGTATCTTCTCATAAAGCCAATAGATGTGGTCAGGGATTGTGGGAGAGCTTCCACATGTGAGGATATTGCTCAGCATTGAAGAGTGGCTGTATGTGTGTGTGCAGTCCTGTGCGCACACGCACATGTGTGACTGTGTCCCCTGCAAAAGCAGAAATACTGTGCTCGCTATTACCAGCCTTGTTGAAGACAGACATGAGAAGGTGATTAAGGAACATGGTACCTTAGCCAGTATATAGTAAGTAAAAAAGGATGTGGTTTTAGAATTAAGCTACAAGTTTTGCCACCCTGCCATTCAAAATATTTAATAGAAATCATATTTCTCTTTTTGGAAAAAATAGGTTATTCTTGGTGAGAATTTGACTGCAAACTGTCCGGAGGTTATCTATGAAATTAAAGAAGAAACACCTGTTTTTTACAAACTCGTTCCTCATCCTGAGAAGAACATCTACATCTATCTAACGGCTGGAAGAGAGGTAGGTAAAAATACTAGTCACTGCTTCTGACTCATGAATTAAACAAATTGTTTAATTGGTTGGTGTCATTATCTAGTAGTGAAGCTTTTACTTTGAACTACCAAGTTTAAACGTCGCTGCAGGCTTGGAGAAGACCTGCAATGGTTCATAGGCACGGAATTAAAAACGTTACTGTCAGTAACTAAGCAAGAAATATTACCTGTTTAGACAATTTTATTATTGGCTATATTTCCAGTGCCACATTTTGCAGAGGAGGGTGTGCTTGCAAATGCACATCATCAGCAAGGTAACTGAATTTACACATTTATTGTGTGGGCGCTGAACGGTTAGATGCATTTATGAATATACCCAATGGGATTGGCTTTGGAATTTGGGGTTAATGTCAGGCCACAGTCTCATACACATTCATTAACCAGAATATATATGGTACTTGCCCTTCCTCTCTTAATTTACCTGACTGTTTTAGTTTTTCTTCTTGCTTCTGCTTACTGAATTACAAAGGATACCTTTTTACATTTTCTTCATTTTTACAAAGGGAAGGGGAGATAAGCTAATTTTTATTGAGTCCCTACTGACTATGTACAAGTTACTATTCTATGTATGGTCTCTCTAGATGAGATGCATAGAGTTGTGTGCACACATGTATAATAAACAATGTTAATGAAAAGTGTTAATAATTTAGTGATATAAAATTACTTTTGTTTTATATATGAAGAATCTACGACTTGGAAAGGTGAAATAACTTGCTGAAGGGTATATATAGATTAGACCTGTCAGAACTAAGACTGAAATTACGCCCTGATCTTTTAAAGCCCATGATAAATGAGATCAAGTCCCAAATTTGTGAAAATTAAGCAGATCATTCTGGCACAGTGGTTTTGACCCATGAGTATTTGAACATACAAAGTACAAAGAAGATACTTGAGACTTACATAATTATATCAGGCATGTAACAGATGCTCTTGGCCCACCCCAATTTTTCATTCTTTTCCTCTCACTCATTCTACGGACAATAGCAATGGCATTAATCTACATGTGCTGCTAGTCATAGAATAAGTATGCAAGCACTTTGTAATTCCTGGAATTCCCTAAAAGGCCATATTGCTCTTTGAATGTTGAAAAGTCAGTTACATCAAAATGACCACATCGAGATGGCCACTGATCTCATATACTTCTGTAAACCAGTTCTTTATTATTTAGAATCTCCTTAACCAGCTTGCTTTCCCATTCAGAAGCTTTTTATTATATTTCTAACCCCAAGGTTTCCATATTTGAAAGATTTTTGCCTACTCAACAAAGTACATATATTAAGTAACAAGGCCCATTCTCAGGCTGTATTTATCAAGGGCATCTCAGAGCTAACAGTCAGAGAATTGACTGTGCTGCCACACAGAGCTGATAAAACTCCAGCCCAAAGTACTTAAAGCCTGACTTAATCTCTATATGTTTTTCCATTCAGCTTTTTAAAATATTGCAAATAGCTCATAGGTCTTCATTACTGCCTTCCCTGGAACTCAAGACTGTAGGATGGGAACCACTGTGAGAGCTTCCAATAGTTAACAGGTGCTCACTTTCTGAAGGTGAATTGTTCTAGTCTCTGGCCATTCAAAGCCTGAAGTGCTGAGGAGAGCTTTCAACTGGGCATCAAGCTGGCTATTCTTCACTTAGGCCTCCTGCTAGAGATCTTATCAGTAGGATTCTGGTTGGGCCAATATAACCCCAAGAGACACAAACCTAAGGAAAGTCCTTTGTTAGATTCTTGTGCAGATTGTAATAGCCAAGCTAACACACCCTGGCACATCCATAGGATTGTATAAAATGTAGCCATTAAAAATAACCATGTGGAGATACATGCATTGCTGTTGAATAGTCACTACAATGGATTAAGTTGGAGAAGCAGGTCCAATGTAGTCGTTATAGTGTCCTCTCTTTTATATGTAGTTACGTTTGTGTGTTTAAGTATATTGTATGGTCATTCTTACAGAATGTTCTAGAGCCCGGCCGGGCGTGGCTCAGCGGTTGAGCATCGACCTAGGATCCAGGCAACCGGGGTTCGATTCCCAGTCAGGGCACATGCCCGGGTTGCGGGCTCGATCCCCAGTCGGGGGCATGCAGGAGGCAGCTGATCAATGACTCTCTCATCATTGATGTTTCTCTCTCTCTCTCCCTCTCCCTTCCTCTCTCTGAAATCAATAAAAGATTAAAAAAAAAAAATGTTCTAGAGATTCATATTTTGGTAAATGCTCCGAGGAAAAGTCCTAGGAGCCGATGCTGCTGACTGTACCCCTCCTGGAGCATCTTCATGCTCGGTATATTTAGAGGCTCTCAGAAGCCTTGTGCTAAGAAAACCTATTTCGCTTTTTTAGTGTAAGGTTTCACATGTTTGTTGGACTGTGAAAACTTTTCTCACATACTAGCAATAGTCAACACTTATTGAGCATTTAGTATGTGCCAGACAATGTTTGTAATAACCCCATGAAGTCTGCAGCAACATCAATACTTCACAGATGAGAAAACAAGGTTAGGGATTTATGTGACATTTATGAAAACCTCCCAGAATTAAAAAGATGTTTTGTGAGCTACAAGGAAATACCCACATTCTGCTTACCTCTGGCTCGGCTGGTGGTCTCTCAGCAGGTCTGTCAGCAGCACTGAGAACTGTGACCTGGACGAGCGTGGTTATCCTCCCTGAAGTCAACTTAGAGTCGAAAGATATTCCTCAGGATGGCTCATTTTCCTCATAACTCTCTTCTAGAAGTGTCTGTTTCTCCAACCTTTCTAAGAAGTTACTTAACACTTTCTAGCATATATAGCTTCCTGGCCTAATGAGTTCCACAATTTTGTTTACTACCTGCTGTGGGCTCTGCCTGCAGAGAACATGCTGTGTGGCACTCAGGCCCCTGCCTCCCGCCACCCTGCTTCAAGGCTCTTCTGCCTCGGCAGCCTGGGTCTGCCCAGCATGGGTGCTTGTCTGTAGGCTGCTATTTTCTGACAAATGGAAGAGGCAGCTCTAGGGGCAGGGAATGATTCGAAAACGCCCGTTTCTTTTATTTTCCACTCCAGGGGAGGGGACGTGAGGTAATGGAGCTACCCCCAAGAGGGGTGGGAGGGTTCTCCTCACTTCCACGTCCAGTGACAACCTCATGCTACCTGGGTCAGAGCATTTTGCTATTTTCAGATGCTCATTTCCAAAGTGCTATTGACTATCTCTGTATGAAACTGGCTGACCTCATTCCATGACCCCTTTCGAAGGCATTCTTAGGTCAGAAACCTGACTGCTATCAGACTCACCTGAGAGAGTGCTTAAAATTACAGATTCCTCGGCCTGGCCCCAGACCTACTCAGCCGGAGCTCTGGCAGCAGGGCGGCTGGGAATCTGCACTTTCACAAGCTCCTGAGATGATCCTGCTAACCTGCTTCCTACCTTGGGACTTGAGACCCCTGACCAGTGTTGTTATGGAGACACTCAGGGTGCGAGCCGATGAATGTCTCTCTGTGGCCCTTCATCACATAAGGTGTGGTGGCTTTTCGGGTGCTGTTTATAATTCTGTCTGAGCTGCTGTCATCTTTATTTTCAGGTGAGGAGAATTCGAGTTGCGAACTGCAGTAAACACAAGTCCTGTTCGGAGTGCCTAACAGCAGCAGACCCTCACTGCGGATGGTGCCATTCGCGACAAAGGTACCCCCTGAATTCTTTCTCACCAACTCGCATCTTCAGAAAAGTGTCATGCGGCAGAACACTTGTTGCCCCACTTTAACAATGCGTTCCAGTGACCTGGGGGCACTGAGCTTCTCCCTGACTAAAATATCATTGTGTGATCCGAATTAATTCCCCAAGACGTTCCCAGCCGCCTCAGTGCCTCTAAATCACTTGGCCTGGACCAGTTGGGGTTGCCTGCCCGGGGTGGGAGGGGCAGGCATGTGCCATAGAGGAGGATGGGCTCGGGCTGGCAGCCTGCTTTTACTTTCTGCAGAGTTCCCCAAGACTCAGAGAGACGAAAGGTTCTCCCCCAGGGAAGGTAAAAGAATAGGGATGTTTGAAAATTTCCAAATGAATCCTCAGAATATCATGAATTCAGCTGGCGCCGTGGAAGCCTCATTACTGATGATGTTGTCGCCTGATGCGCCACACAGCTGTGGGCCTGATGTACGACCTCAGGCTCCCGGCAGAGCGAGCCCAGCCTGGTCTTGAATCACTGTGCTCAGGACCCAGCCAGGCTCCGGGCGACTCGGAGCGGCGTCCTCGCCGTGCAGCTCGGAGCATCCCTGGGACTGGCCTGGCTGGATTCGCTGTTGCCATGGTAACCCGGCACTCGCTGGAGAAAGCCCGCGCTGCAGCTCAGGCAGGGGAAGGAAAAAAACCCAAACCGTAGCAGTGTCTGTCAGTTTGGCGCTTTCCGTTTTTAAAGGTAAAAAAGGAGAAGAAAGAGGAGAACAGGTGCAAAGAAGTGGAAGGGTGAACAAGGGCCAGTTTGGGGAAAGGAAAGGAAACTAGGAAGAGAATTTGGGAGCCTCTGGGGGAGGAAGCCAAGAGCAGTGAAGGGAGAGGGGGAAGATGCAATGAAAGCAAGAGGTTCAGGAAACAAACTAAAAATATGGGGATGGAATGAATGAAGAGTTCATGGGGGAAGTCAAACGCCGAGATGCAGCCAGACGCATAATTGCCTGTGCCTTACGCGGAGCCTCCTTACTGGGCTGTTTCCCTGGAATCGCTGGCAAACAAAAGGAGCAGGGCCAGGAAGATTCTCATGAATAATTGTAACTGGGTAGGAACGCTTTCTTCTTGTCACTCGCCCAAGAGTTGGGTTTAAGGAATTCACTGATCGTGAACAGCGTTTCATCGCCGCACACCCACTAAGCAGTTTTGCTGAAATCTTTCCGATCCGTTCCACTTACGTAGGTTCCCTGTGCGTATCTGTAGAGCTACGTACAGGAGTTAATTCAGTGACAGTGGCGGCCGTGGTGATTAAATAGCCACACATAGCTCGTGGCTACTGTATTGGCAAATGCAGGACATGGGAGATGTCAAGGCTGCTGATACGAATTTGGGCGTTAGTAGTGTTAAGATGGAACATAAGGAAGCCTTCTGACCGGATGGGGAAGGGAGTGTAGATTGAGGGGAGAAGTAGTTGGAGAACTGAGCATTAAGGTGGGGCAGTTCCTAGGGGTCAGGGAGATGAAGAGGAAACGGGAAAGAGGAGGGAACGGCCAGAAAGGGGAGAGAAGAAACTGAAGAAGGTGGTCTCCGGGAGGCCAGAGGAAGGAAGGAGGAGGGAGCGGACCGCTGTGCCAGATTGTGCTGAGAGGTCAGGCGGGAGAAGAGAATTGATCCACTGGACTTAGCAGGTGATGACTGGTGACCGTGACAAGGACATTGGGGAAGTGGTGCTAAGGCTGCAAGAGAAGGTAACAAGGGGACAGAGCAGAGACAAAACTTTAGAGGAGCTCTCTTGAGAAAGATAGCAGAAAAAGGGAGCAGCAGACTCTGGAAGAGAAAGTAGAGTCCGGACAGTTTCATTGTTTAGAAGAGGCATGAAACAGCAGTGCGTGTTGGGGCTGTTGGGAGAGGTCCAGCAGGGAGGGAGAAAGCGATGATGCAGGAGAGAGGAGAGAGCTGTGGAGTGTTGTCTTTCAGCAGATGAGGGAAAACATGATCTAGTACACCAGTGGGGAGGCCACCCTCAGACGGGAGTGTGGGACAGTTCCTTCCCGGTCATGGGAGGGAAGGGGGCCCAGGAATAGGTGGGTGGTGGAAGCAAGTGTCATTTCATTGCTTACATCATTTTTAGTGACTTAAGATAAGCGAGAGTGAGGGGAGGTGGGGGAGGAAACCCTGGGGATTTGAAGGGAGAAGAGAGAGAAGGTGTGAAAGAGAGTGGGAGAGAGAACGAGATGGGAAATAGGAAATGACTGCCAGGAAGCTTTAGGGCCCACCTGAGGTCGGAGGTCTTGCTTTTGAAGTGAGAGCAGTACACATGGTTTTGCTTTCACAAGCCACGTTCAGCTCTGTTGGTCTCATAGAGTAGGTGAGAGTTAGATTGAGCCAGAGTTGGGGCTTTGCCAGGAAATACTTCAAGAGAGGGCAGAGGGGCCTAGAAGCTGAGGGTGCATGCAAGGGAGAGGCAATGATATTGATGTGGATATTGATACTTATAATAGTGGACTCTGGGGTTTAAGCCATAAGTGAACTCTGAGGAGAGGAGTGAGGGATGTAAGAAGGTGGCAGGGCCTGTGCACTCGGGGTTGCAGTTTGGGGGAAGACTTGATGGAACTAGGCAACTGGAAAAAGGGTAGTGGTTGGACTGTGGGGAGCTTGAAATTAAGGTCATGAGGGGGTGGAGTTACTGGTAATGACAAAGTCTAGGGTGAGATTATGTAACTAAAATAGGATGGAGGACAAGATTATTGGCAGAGCGGTCAAGGAACTGAGGTGTCAGCATGTTAGATGGATCGATTATCTGTGTGGAAATTGCAGTCACCAGGAACTACTGTGGGAACAATATTGGAGAGAGTGAGAAGCCAGATATTCAAGAAAAGGAAGGCATTGGCCCATCCGGGGGGGTGGTTTGCGGGTGGTTTGCAGGTGGTTCCAACAGAGAAGAATTTGGGGTGATGTGGACTGAGGGCATGAGCTTCAAAGATGGAGTGACGCTGGGCGGCTTAGAACAAAGGGAAGAAGAATGGTCCAGAAGAGGAATCAAGATACAAGCGGGCCACCTATAGTGAGGGCGAGGAAGCAGCCAGCCCTGCGCTGGCCACCGGGAAGCATGTCCTCAGGGACAGCCTGGTTTCTGTGGGAGCAAGAAGGTGAAAGGAAGAATTGGAGAAGAGGTGGAGGCCATGGGGCTTTTATTGATGGTAGGCTTGAATTCCAGGCTTCTATAAAAACCTGCTCACTGCTTCCCCTGCTTCTGCTCTTACTCCCTCGCCTCTGCCTTTTAAACTCTAAACCAGATCGCGACATTTCCCAGCGTAATAACCTCCACTGGCTTCCGTCTTAGAATTCAGCCCAACTCCCTTACTTGCAGGGCCTGCACACGAGGCTTTCCGTAAACCGGCCGTGTGCTACTTCGCAGGCCTCTCATGCCACTCTCTCCTTTCATCTACCCCAGGCACTGGCTTCCTTTCTGACTCAAGAATATGCCAGGCTTGTTCCTGCCTCGGGGATTTTGCACTTGCCATTTCTTCAGTCTAGAATATTCTTCTCCAGATCTTTGCATGGCTGGCTCTTTCTCCACCATCAGGTCCTAGCGCACACAGCTCCATGCGATTACCCAGTCTGAAGTAGCCTCGCCTCACTCACAGTGACATCACTGTTTTATTTTCTTCATGGGCCCTCCACTATCTGAAATGATCTTATTTCTCTGCCTCTCCCTTTATTAAAATGTAAGTTGCATTGGGACCTTGTCTTGTTCATTATTGTATCCCCCAGAATCTAGAACAGTGCCTGGCACATAGTAGGTATGTTAAATGAATGCAGTAGATTGATTGGGAAACTCTACCAATGGCAGGAAACTTGTGCATTAAGTATTATAAAACACTCTGGATTTGTGGACTGATGGCCCTTCCCAGCCATGTCAGATTACTTGGTTTCAAAGTGGCTGGGCTCTGGCCTAAGATTAAATAAAACTAAGCTTCAGATCTGTGACTCACATTAAGCTCCCAGTACATTCAAAATTAGGAATTCTAACGGGGGATGTTTTCTTACAACTGTAGAGCATCCCACTGTGTTTATTTTAAATGCCACAGATTTATTTAGAAAAATAACTTATTTCTTTGTTGAGAAGGTTGAGCTTCCTTGCATACATGTCTAGAAAGTGGATTTGTTTGGGGGGTGGGGTGAGAAAATGATCTTAACTTCCTTTTGATGGGGTGTTAAGAATAGGCATCCAGTTTAAGCAGATAAAAAGCAACTAAATAAACAATGAGCTCTAAAAAGTCTAGTATTTTATTGTCGGAACTTCACATCCAACCTATGATGAATTTGTCTGTGTGGGTGGAAAGTGAATTTTTGCAGGCTGAATATCTTGGGTTGGGAAGCAGTTTCTCAGTTTCTCCCATATTGCAAAGCATAGCACATGTGTTCAGTTATGGATTTCCACAAAACTGGCAACCCTGAACCAATGAACAGGTGAGGTTCCAAAAGTTCATTTGCAAGTTTGGCACTCAGAATGCATTTTCCCAAAGAAACAGTGTCATTAGTTAAGGACTGATTCCCAAGTCAGCCCACAAAATTCAATTTATTTTATTTCAACAAATATTTATTGAATATCTACCAAGAACCCAATGTGAGAAGTCAGATAACTAGGTGGTATTGAGAGAAATCAGTTCCCAGTCTTAGACTTAAGGAATTCACACATTAGCTAGGAGACAGACATGTCAGTGGCCAACATTCATTCATTCAGTTGTATGTCCAATCAACAGATAGTTTGTGAGCACCTACTATGTGCTAAGCCCTGTGCTAGGTGCTTGGGATACAATCTTTCTTGCCTACATGGAACTTGAAACCTAGTGAGGGATAAGACAGGCGCATTAGTCAATTTTCTCTCCAATAATACTGAGTAGCAAACAAACTCTTAGTGATTTACAAGAACAGACGTTGTTGTTTGCTCACGGCTCAGCTTCAGCAGGGGTGGGAGATCGGGGGGCTCAAGCTGCAGGTCAAGAGTTTGATTCAGG